CCCCAAAACCCCAAAACCCCAAAACCCCATATTGAAATTTTTAAGAATTTCTTAAATTAGTGCGCAATATAATAATTTTAAATCAACAATTGATCAAAATTTAAATATTTAAGGAAAATTAAACAACAAATTATAATCAAATTATCTACCTTCATATATTTACTTATGGAATAAAAATTAATCTAGCTCTCAGAATTTCTCGCCTTTTAAAACAAATATAATCTACTATTGGATAAAACGAATATAAAAATCAAAAACCTTAAAAAAATGAGCAGAAGTCAATAACACATTGACTAAGAAATTATTAATTTCGTTAAAATATCAGTCTTAAACCTTAAATAACTAATCGGGAGCTGGGAAATGTCTGCTAAGATCTTTTAACAATTGATTTCTCTTTCTGGGCATTAGGATTAAGGCATTCTTGATTATTTGGAGAATCGTAAAGATGCTGAGAAAGTAATTCATTTTAATTCAAGCAACAATTAATATTCAAAGTTTGAATCTTAAGATGAGGAGTCATACTATTCAAGTGAATTGTAAATGATAGTTCAAAAAGAAAACTCGATAAATGTATGTAATGGTTAAAAAGAGGACTAAATTTTAAGAAAAAAGAACTTTTATGATTCAAATCATAATAACTTGAATTTTGAAAATCCTGATTTTCGATAATCGCATCAATTCTAAAGTTTTCCTAAAAATATTGACCAATTATCTTAAAAACAAAAAGAATAAATGTGTAAGCTTAAAAGATAATCAAGATCGAGATCTCCAATAGAAGTGAATTCATATTTACAGAATGGAAAAATATAGAATTAAATTGATCAAAAATAATAATAGCTAGTATAGTAATCCATTCAATTCGATATGAGCTAAGTTACTCATGAACGAAAAAAGATGCCACTTACATTAAGAAACAACATCGTAGACATTTAAATATTAGGATTGAAGAAAAATATCCAGATGTTATCTCAATTGAATAATGTATCTATTAATAACAAATAAATCATAATCTAGTAAAGAAACAATCAATTAATTCTAAAAGAAAAGGAAAGTTAGGATAAATAGATCGACTAATCTTAATAAATTTCAAACAAAAATTCAAATTAAGAATAAGCATTTAATGGCTAAAAAAATAAACTTTAAAAAGGGGAAGAAATAAAATAAAAAAACATCGATTCAAACCAAGACTCCAATAAAAAGATTGGTAATGATGGAAAAAATAAAAATTTAAATCCTCAAGACAATCAAAATTAGTTTACTACAAAAGGCTAAGGCTGGGAAAATCAGCAGAGTAAAAATATTCTACTCTAAGATCCCTAATTTAAACATCTTAAGAAAGTATCAAAAGATGAACAAGATAAATTCAATAATCTTAAATTGGTCAAAGAAATTAATCTAAGTAGTGACAAGAAGACAACTACACTGTTTTATAACAACATTGATGAAAAGTTGCTTCTCGGACTTAATGATGCTTAAACATAGTTATTCTCTATAAAATAAAACTAAGAATGGGTGTTAACCCATCCCAATACCCCTATATCAATTTTCAATTATAAAGAATCAATCTATTGCGGTTAGCTTTCATCATAAGTTACAGTCTTAGATCAATCGACTTACTAATAGAAGACTGTTATAATGACGAAAGAAGTAGTAATTAAAATAATAAGTTTCATTCAATTTGATAATCAAAGCTAAATCAGTTAAGAATACCTGGCCTTCCTTGAGGAAAAAGGGTTTATTGAATTTTATTGTCCCCAAGAAGATTCTATAATTTTCTCTTATTAGCACAGTTGCTAAATGGATATAAAAGATGGATTTCAGGTCTAGAATTCAAATCAAATCTGCTTAGCCTTTGCATAACTTTAAAACAATGTTTATAGTAGAGGCTAGCTTTCATTTATTGAAGTAATTAAATCGCAAAATACTCATTAATAATCAAGCAATAATTATGATAACTCAGTAAAGGTTACATAAGAAATTAAGATCGAGGAACTTGAGAACATAGATTATTTTAACAATAAGAGTGTCTTTTGCATCCAGCAAATCTCAACTAACTGTTTTATTGCTTGTTGCATTAACAGCAGTTTCTTCTTCTTTAATAGAGAAAGACCATAGGATGTCTAATAAATATTCAATCCTTCTTCAAGTATCAACTATAACTCACTGATAAAAATTGAAGGATTTGGAGAAAATCTACCCTATCTATTTTTTAGAGATTCAAGATCTCTTGGAGTAATTAATTGTAAAACACTTGAGGCTTTTACATTGGCAAAAGGAATTGATTATGCAAGATGTGGCAATCTATACAGTCTTGAGTAATCTCGAGATAAGGAAGATGGAAAAATTAATTTATACACAATGACTTATGATAGAAAATTAAACAAGAGATAGCTTCTAATTTATGCTCTGGATATTTCCTGAAAAATTAAACAATTCTGTCACAGATTATAAATAGCTTTGTACAACAAGTTTTAATTAAAAATATTCACCATAATTATATTGATAAATATTAACAATTTTATAATTAGTTAAACAAAATTTGCAATTTCCCTTATCTTTTTATCTAGCAAAACTGGGGTTTTGGGGTTTTGGGGTTTTGGGG